TCTACCGGAGTAGATTCACTCGCCAGCCCTCTTTTTCCTCTCCCCGCCGGTCCATGTATTTCCTGATTCTCATCCATGGCCTGGTCCAGATGGACCTCCATTTCTTGCATTGCTTTTTGCTCTTCTGAAGACTTTTGACTCCTGGTCTCAACCATTCTGCCTGAAACAGTCTCCCCATTGTCGGTTAGAGTTTGTATGATCCTTTCCACAAACGGGTCGATCATTGCTTTTCTCTGTTTCTCAGGAATGAATTTCCTGGAGCTATCACTCTGTTTAGGTATCCTTGACTTGTCTAGACTCAATCTTAATTTAACACTTCTTACTGCCTATACACTCAATTCAATTGCTAGTGTCCTTTTGATCTGACTTCTGATAATAATAATACAACGCAATAAATTTCAAACGTTTCTATTAAATAGTGACCACGAATCTTGTATGTTATCACAGTACAACATGAATACAATTTATTCACAATGATTGATTATTAGTTTCAAAATGTGAAGCTAGCACAGTATGATAATATCAGTCTATTTAAAAGACAGAGTTCTCACTACCCAATCAAGCACAAAAATTATTGTTTTTAAACCAAAATTGAAAAAAAAACCTTAAATAATTTCTCTGAAAAACGTATGTGTTTTGTACTTTTAGTCAGTCGCAAAACAATAGTCGATTTTGTTTTTATAAAAAGAGCTTTCCCTGCTTGGTGCTGCACCGAACAGACAAAAGTTGAAGGCAGTTATTTTCTCAAGTGGACGTCTATTGCACCCACCGAGTCCTGTGTTACCTATCTGCCTTCAGACTGCCCGAGCTAGACCTACTAAAATCGTCAGGGCAATCTTTTCTCAAAAACGTTTTGAATTCCAGTCCACACTAATGAGTTACACACTCTTGATCAATTTAGACTTAGTGTCGCGAATGTCCGAGCTTAAACCTGCTTTGTTTTGATTCTGTTTTTTACAAAAGGCAAGTTACCAGTGCAGTCACTGGTTCCCAGCCTATCTCTTAGTAACCTAATAACTTTAATTACTTTCTTTTCTGTTGTCTTCTTAAGTTTTGACAAAATAATACCCCTCCGGATTGGCAAGATTGGGATCCCTCCGGATTGACGAAAATCGGACCCCACCGGATTGGTAAAATTTCGACCCTTCCGGATTGGGACTCCTCCTGTTTTGTAAAAATTTAGACTCCTCCGGATTGGGACCTCTCCGGATTTGTAAAGTTTTAGATCCCTCCGGATTGGGACCCCTCCGGATTGGGACCCCTCCGGATTTGTAATACCCTTCCGGATACGTTCTCCGATGATATTATGCTGTTTGAACCAACTAGGAAGTGTGTGTCGTCCTTCCCAAGACCCTTCCGGATTGAAGATAAGCCTCTTATTCGACGATTCACCCTAACGGTGAAGGGTCTTATCGCTAGCCTAATTTCGGCTCGACTAAGGTTTTCTCGTGCCTTTAGCCTTCCCTTTTCTTCTAGAACAGCTTAAAAATGCCTTATCTGACCGTCACTACCTTTTGGTAGGGGTGTAAGGGCTTTCCAAAATTTTTTTTATAAAACGTGAAGGGTCTACCTTCCCGAATTGGTGAGTTTGCCAAAAACAACCCTAAAAAATTTTCACGCTTAATTTTTTGAATAATTGATGTTTTTATTAGTAAGCTCGAGTAATTTCTGATCTAATGGTACCAAGATCAACTGAATTTGTCCAGTAGTTCCAAAGTTATTAACCAAAACGTCTTTTTTATAAAGTCCAAAAAAAAAATTTTCTCTTACAGGTTCCGCCTAACTTTTTTTGCAATTCTGTTCTTTTCGACCTAAAAATTATTGATCCGAGCTCAAAAGGCCTATACTCTTCTTGTTCAATGCAAAAAATCCGATCTAAAACACTCTAGTTGAAAAACTTTGCGAAAAACTATGCTATTTGGAACCCTCCGGATTGATGAATCCACTAAATCAAACACGTTAAGTTCGATTTCTCTGTAACCCGGAAGGTTATCGGCAAACGGGTTTTAAAACCTGTCGATTCACTAGTGGACGTTGTCCGATCAACTATTTTTTACTGTCCTAACTCAAAAATTTCCAAAAAAATTTCCTATTTTATAGTGTTCTGTTTTTCCAAAATAGTTCCAACCACTTCTGAACTAAACTCAACCGGTTATACCTATTATACTAGCACAATTACGATGTAACTCACTAATTCAGCGCTTTTTTCCGTTTAAAAAAATATCGATATCTCAAAAATCGCGATTTGTGGGGGGATTAAAATATCGCTATTTTGACCCTAAAAACCGGTCCGCTTACTGTGTTTTTCACTGAAAAATGATATAACAGTATTAATATAGGCTGTATAAGTAATAATACTAGTAATACTATACCCCTCCGCGTTTGTTCAATATCCGAATTAATGTGCTCAACTCGGAAATTCACAAATCGGTGAAGGGTCACTACAGTGCAGCACTGTCGAGACCCCCACAGATTACTATCTTATTTTTTGTACCAAAAGGGATACAAAACTTGTTAACGATACCAAACAGTCGACTGTTGTTGTCGTTGAGCCCCCTCTTGTCACTTCTTGTACTGCTTGCCGGATCAGTCTTCTTCACTAATCCCGAGACCCTTCCGGATTGAGCGAAAATCAGCAGACCCTTCCGGATTGAGCGCAATTAGCATTAACGTGCTTAAATACTCAAATAATCCTACAGTACAAGCCTCACAAACGGGCCACAAAAATGATCGTAACGATCCTGAGAGATATAAATGCCTGTAACAACAATATATCTATCAACAACAAACGGGAGGGTCGGATCACATCTTGTCTGGAGGGTCGGATCACATCTTGTCTGGGGGGATGATTTCTACTGATTTTTTAAACTTTTTTACTGTTTTTGGTTTTTTCGGTTTTTTTAATGTTTTTGTTTTTCTTGGGTACTATACTAGTTTTTGTTTGGTTTCTTATATATCTTTAAGTGTTTTTGGTCACAAACCTCTCAGGGAACGAGAGGACGGCCGATCCCCCCACCCTTCGTGGAACGTGAATTTTTGGTCTTAACTAGGTTAAAAAGTTATTCACGGTAATTCGGAAGGCTTCCATGTTCCGAACTACCCTTCCGCCCCTGCGGTTAGGGTCTGTTGAGGGCGTTATTATGAGCATCCGCTCGGCGCGGAGTGCTCTTTAACGGCTCTGCCGGTCATGATGTTAAGAAAGAAAAACACCCAGGAGCGCCATAAAAACATCCATGTATCACTCGCCCGGAAGTACATATCGACGGAAAATAGAGCTAAGCTATAAAACGAGTGGCCAGCGTCTAAACAGAGCTCTACATGCTTTTCACCGTCTCTACCAAAGCCAGTTCTTTTGATAGTCTTTTCAACATCGGGTCGACAAAAACGTTACTGTTCTCCGGCCTCGACCAGAAAGCTCAAATTAACTTACTTACATGCAAAATTTGTTATATTACGATTGTTTTTGTTCAGTAGATTAAAATCATCATCTCCATCGAAGATGGATCAACCCTTTCCCTTAACTCCTAGCTTCTCATCGTCAGAAAAGGAATTCAGATGTTAAATAAATTCAATTTAGGACTTAATTGGGAAGCTAAAATTTTGTATAAAATGGTTTAAGTTCAAGTCGCAAGTACCCTCCGGATTCCTGAATCCGGGGAAATAACACCCTTATTTCCTCTCCGGAAGGCTTGTTCCCATCCTTCACATTTAGCGTGAATGGCCTTGCAACGATTGTAGCAACACAATCGTTGCAACTCGGAGAGGTCTCTGCTAACACTCTGTCGTATTTTCGTGTTTCTCTCAATTATCGTAGTTGTTTTCGCAACTTCTGTCGTTGTTCTGTTTTTATTTTGGATTTCTTCCAAAGTGGCCGTTTTTGACGTTTCTCAGAAGTGTGACGTCACAATTCGAATTTTTAAAATTTAAGAATTTCCGAATCCTTCAGCCTTCACGATTTGTCCAATCGTCTGAATAACACTGTTAATCGTCTAAAACTGCTAATTCGGAAGGTTAGCTGCTAGCCCTTCGTAACTGTCTTTTCGTCAATTCTGGTCGAATGGCACATATTTCGACGTTTAGCTCGCCGAAACATTGTGTATGAAATGCACGTCGTTATGTACTCAGCGGTATAAGAATAAGCGTTACTGTATAAGAAGTTTCCAGAAGTTAGAACAGGCAGAAAAACTAAAACTAGAGATCGGGCCAATTTTTGGCGTTTTTCGCTGGCAGATTTGAATGTTTAGTTGACCTTTAGATATTTTTATTTGAAAACAACTTTTTTACATCTATCTACAATCAAAAACATCTGTCAACCTCAACAGCAGAGATATTTCATAATGGCCATCTGATCGAGCCTAAAAATTTCACCGATTGGGCTTTCTGGGGTGTTGATTTGGAACCCTAAAAGTCCAAATTGTTAAGTAGCTAGGTACATAATTTTTTTTAAAGAGGCCCTTTCGTTTAGTTACGGTAATTGCACTAGCTGGATAGGGCCATACCAGCGTTATAAAAATGCATATATATCAGCAAACTTTATCATTTTATCAATGAAGTCATAAATCAGCATTAAATGCATCATCGTAATGTTAATTCATTTTAGCCGTCCTTCTACAATAGCGCTAATGGAGTTGTCGATAAATTGAACTTGGCGCAGCGATCTGCACCCCCTGATACAAAGTATAGAGCTCCTCAAGAGCGCGAAGCTTATTTTAGTTCTTATGTAGTTTATAGATTCTGGATAGCTTTCTTGTCTTTTTTCACTTAGTTTTGCGGCTAATCGCTGCATCGTCCGCGTGGCTGTTGGAGCACTGCCACCGGTGCATCCGAAAATTAGCGGAAAGAAGTTACTCTGCTCTACGTTTAAAATTCTTTGCTGATATTTGGAGTTCTTCAGCGGTTCGTGATATTTGTATGCGTCTTTATGCAGTTTTCGCAATGTTTTGGCATGGGGGTTGGGTACATACGTAAAATCGAATATTTATTGTGATTAAAGTTTATTTTAGGTTGATGTGTGGGTGTTGAGAATGGGGTTTGAAAAGGAGCCCAGTATATGCAGATTGTCAGAAGTAAGTGTGATTCGAATAGTAAATAGTTTTCTAGTGGCGAATTCTTTAAGTCTAACTATTGTCGCTACCGAAATGGCTTAGAACCAAGCTTTCAAGGTTTATAGATTGTCGGGTTTGTGACCTCATTACAGAAAAAGCTACATGTGTCATTATATTGACTAATTGCGCATTTCCGGAGGTTTTTCAAGCGCTTGAATTGTTTTTAGCTTTGTAATGAAGGAATGCGTTTTTTGCTGCATTGAGAATTGCTGTTATGATAAAAAAAACCTGTCGAGCATAATGATATTTTTTATAACGGCTAGTTGCGCACGTCACCATAGGGTTTTCAGGTAGTTGTAAGAAATTGATCATTTTGTACCTTTCTAACAAACTTTTGTTTTTAGAAATTGAGTGACTCTACTTTACCCTTGGGCGATCGATTTGATGCTTTATTTCAACTCAGGACAAATGGCACTGTCGCTGCTATGCAATGTATTGCTGGCCGTCTTTTAGACCCAAAGGAGGACTCTGCCTTGTTGAAGCATGAGCTTGCCTACTGCATCGGGCAAATGCAACTTAAAGAAGCAATTCCATCGTTGTCACAAGTTCTTGAAAATGAAAATGAGAACACTATGGTTCGACATGAGGCCGGAGAGGCTCTCGGAGCAATAGGTTCAGCTGAAGCAATAGATGTGCTATCTAAGTTCGTGTCACACAGTGAAGCGGCAATCAGCGAAACCTGTCAACTGGCAATTGAACGAATAAACAATGTTTCCGAAAACTCGAACCAAAATAAACCAACTGGAGGCTTCGGATCAATCGATCCAGCTGTTTTTGAAGAAAGTTTAACACCCAGTGGAGATACATGCGAAGACATCGATCCCTTGCAAGAGCGTCTCCTTAACGAGAGTATTCCATTGTATGAGAGATATGTGGCAATGTTTAAATTGAGAAACATAAGTTCAAAACTGTCAACAAGGGCGCTTTGCGAAGGTTCGTGAAATTGACTTTTTATAGCGATAGTTACGTGAGCGCAACAAAAAAAATAATGCTGATAAGTGAGATCAAAACAAATCAAATACACGGTAGCATTTTTATTGATGCACTTAGGTATAATGCACTTTCTGAGTTCAAATGAAATTCATCCGCTGAAAGTGACGTAAATAGCACTCTCCAAATACGAACGTGGAAATGGCGCAATAAACCTGAACGATTTCTAGTTTCGAAAGTGGAATTTATTTTTAGATTTCCTAGCGGAATAAAAACTACCTATTGATCCAGTTTTCTCTAGTTGGGTTCATGTAATCAAAAAAGCTCCAATCATAAATTGTTCTAGAAACTCAAAGAGCCTAAAGGGCATCTATTTTTGTTCGATTGTTGAGATTTTTTCGAAAGTTCAGATTTCGAAAGTTAAGATTTTTTCAAGAAAGTCAGTGTTTTTTTTGTTTACTTGCGTTCATTACTCTTTTCCTATCTTCGATTGGCTATGTTTTTCAATTTTAGGTAAAGTCGAGTTGTTTGGTTTCAGGTTTCGGATCAAAAAGCGCTTTATTTCGACATGAGATTGCATATGTATTGGGACAGATGCAGAATAAAGAAGCCGTTTCATCTCTTGCCGAGGTTCTTGCGAATCAAAGCGAAGATCCAATGGTGCGTCACGAGTGCGCTGAGGCCCTGGGGTCAATAGCCTCAAAGCACAGTGGAGTCACTGATACACTTAAGCGTTTTCTCAGCGATCCCGAAAGAGTAGTGAGAGAGAGTTGTGAAGTTGCTCTTGAAATTTCTAATCATTGAATTATTGCCATTTTGTTGAGAAATTGTCTTGTAACATGGTTTTTTAAAGCAAGAAATCTTTGACTGAGGGAATAGCAGATTTTTTGATAGGAAATCCTAGGGAGCAGGTGCTGGTGTCAGAAATTTTTGACTAAATTGATTTTCAGAGCTCTCCAAAATTGTTGCAAAAACCCCATTTTCAAAAATTTTTGTGCCGCTGGCGAATTTTAAAAAAATCCGGCCAAAACCATTTTAAGGCGTTTTTGGAAGGTATGTTGCAAATAAGTGATGTTTTGGCTCGCGATGATCTCCCGTATTTTTTGGCACGTGAACATGGCATCAATAAAAACGTCTGCGCTGAAGGGCTTCGTTTTTTTCCCATGGCACATGGTTGTATTAGGTTACTTTACCTTCTTGGTGCGTTGGACGGAAAGCTATGTTTCAGGTTTATGACATTTTTAGTAGTTTTTGTTAAGTTCATTTCAAAACAAAGATCTGTGATCGTCTTTTTGTGCTCGACAGAGTCTAGCTCAATGAAGACATTGTCAGTGGACTAAGCGTTAAATTGAACAAAATGCGTTTCGATTTGTTGAATTTGAGCTCGTTAGCAGCCGACCATCCTTTCAGGTCGCCCACAGCCTGTAGTAGTTTTCTAAAATTGAACTCTCACGATCGAAGCCTTTTTGTATATTGAAAGCAAAAAGCTTTTAAAAGCAGCTCGAAAAACAATAGCATAAAAAATTATCAACAATTTATAACGTAACCAGTAGACTTCCATTAAGTAATGAACGTTTATCACTTGAAGGATCTGAGAGAACATCGATACTTTTTGCTCGCAGAACTCGTGTCACTAAGTTAAGATTGAATAAATAAGTTGCACTTAGTGGAAATCAAAGACTAGAGTTAAAATTTTAGATGAAAAGATATTCAGTCCACAGCTTTCAAAATCTAGATAAAGAGCAATTTTCTTTCATGCCATTGTTGAACTGCATTCAGACAAAAGTTTATTCATGTTTTTACACTAGAGTGCTTGCGAGCGTTAGTGTATTAGTACGAACGTTTTTTTTTTTCAGCCAAACTCGCAAATAAAAGTGTTCACTTATTTGGTGGCTCTGTTGCTATAATCACGATCTGTAGCATTGGGAATATCATAGCATCTGTTCTCTGCTTTATTTCTGGCTAGTGTTTGTGGTTTATTAAGCGTCCGTGGCTGAGTGGTTAGAGCGTGAGACTCATAAGCTCTTAGTCGCAGATCGAATCCGAGTGTTCTGGATAGTGTTTACGAAATGCAGCTTTGCCTCCGTGTGCTTATACTGAACCAAGCACTGCATAGGCGAAGAGCAGGTTCCTTCCTTGTTTTTTAAAAATAATTCATTAAAAATCCTTGCGGTGTTTTCGCATTTAGAGATTGTAAGAGCAAAATGGAAATGTTGGTAAAGAGCAACGGAAACAACTAGTAAGAGTCGATGAACGTAATTCATACTCTCATATAGTTAGCTAGGATTTTTTGGTTTTTATTTTTCAGGAAAAGTCTTGAAATTTGTTTTGGCTCAAACTATCTTTTTCGCGGTTTGACTTTTGGTTTCTTTTTAAATAGAGTTAATTTTTTAGCAGGAAAGCAAACTCCACAATCGAACAGCGAAAGTGTAAAGGTCGTGAACAATTCGATTGACTTCTATTTTCGAAAGTGGAATTTGATTTTCAGACTTCCCAGCGAAATAGAAAATTTTTGTTTATTGATTCACATTTCTCAAATTGGAGTAATTTTAACAAAAAAGTTTCAATCATAATTTGTTCTGGAATTTCAAAGAGCTTTAAGGGCATCGTTGTAATCTTTGGAGTTGAAAAGTTGAGGTGCTTTCAAAAACCTAGCATCCTCAAGGTCACGCGCTGAATTTTACTTTCTGGACATTTGATGACCCATAGACGAGTCCCGAAATTCACTTGGTTAACCTTCCAACACAAAATTAGTACGTCTTCACCATTGTTTTTGGTCTTTTCTTGGACCCACAGCAGAGTTACGTAGATTTTATGTATGTCTCAGTACAGAATTCTTTAACCTGTGAAAATGCAGCCACAATGCAATTTAATTAACAGAGCTGATTCCATTAAAGCAAGGATTTGGTTTACGCCATGCAACTTTCGTAAAAGAAAATACAAAAATTGATAGTTGTTTCTTCCACTGGAAATCATTTTTCAACCCCTAATGCCGGAAAAAGTATCAAAAAGTGACCATAGCAGTCAATCACAATTTTTTCTTACAAAAAAAGCTTCATTTGCAGAAGTGATACAAACGCACTCAGCATTTGATCAGAAACAAAATTTGATATTGTTTGTTTGCATTTCAAAAGACAGATAACTGCAAATAAGTTCAATGACGGACCAATCACATAAAATTTTGTCAGTTAAAACCCAAGATAAAACACTTTTCAGATTTTCCTTCCGGAGAAAATTTAGAGGCGCAAAAATGTGTTTTATATAATTGGGCACAATTAATTAGAATTGATTCATTGAGGTTGAAAAAAGAAGCTGTCAGTCGGATTGGAACCTGCGTCACTGGTGCTAAAGGAATCGTAAATTTTTTTTTATTGGTTTCAGGTCATAAAATACTTTGAAAAAATCAAAAAGTGAGTCTAAACAAAATGAGAAACATCATTGAGTAATTACTCAGAGTAAATTTAGTTGTACTAATTTTAGCTGGAAACGGATATGGAAGCTGCATTGTGGTTTACAAGTCATTATATGCAGAGGAACTATATGTAAAGTTCCAACTATGAAACGGCCACAAATAGCAAAATTCAAACATTTTCAATATAATAATATGACTAAAGGTTGTCAAAAAAAATCTACTTCATTACCAAATAAATTTAAATCTCAAAACGCACAACAAAACATCATGAGTTTCGTTCAAGCATTCACAGTTCAATAAGTGCTTCACTGATTTTGTATAGATTCCTACACTATTACCCAACCAATATGCGCCGTCAATAATAAAATCACGACTGATGCCTAAAAACCAGCGAGAGCGCATTAATGAATTCAATGAGAACAAGATGCATTGAAAATGTCAAGCAAAGTTTATCATAAAGGATCTGCAAAAAAGGCAAGTGGAATGGAAAACTGCGATAATAAATCTGGACTGCACCATATTGCTTAATCGAAGTCCACTGGATAAAAAAGAATGGCTGCGATTCGAACAAACTATGCTGGACTGCCAGTGTTACGCTCATACACTGCGCCATGCCAGCCGTGAATTCGACTTGGGCGACACAACTTGAACCAAAGAAAAATCATTAATGGTGTGTTTTCAATAAACTAATTTGTTCATAGACGCTGAGCCAGCACGAATCAAAGAAAAGTAAGAAAAAAAAAGAGATGTAACCAGCCCTGTGGCACAGGTGGTAGTGCCGCAAGTCAGTATGATCATTGTTAGATATGGATTGTGTTTCTAGTCTCAGTGGGACGCTATCATCGTTTGATTTCAATTTGGAGATGAGTAATTATAATTTTCGAAAAATTGCTATTAACGGAGGAGAGTATCGGAACAAAGGACAACTGAAGACCATACTAGATGCCCTCATTGCTAGACTGAAGAAGAGACAGGGGCTTACGACGTTACAATATGGCCGTGAGGTGATACACGTGAGGATTTCTCAATTCCGCAGAATCCCTGGAAAGTGTCCTGGGGCGAAAGGTGTAATCGAATGCGATTACACTGTTCATGCGAGAGGTATACTGGAAATCACTCGTGAGCATATGGCTCTGTTCGCTCCAGGAACACAGTTCGTACCTTGCGACTACATTGAGAACAGAGAAAGAGTTTGAGCCCCGATTTGAGCAATCTGAAGTCCCAACGACGCGTAGAGAGAGGCGCCCAATGTGGAATCAGAAGAGCAAGGCACCAATGAATGAAAAACATAAGAATGTCAGAAACAACAATTTGAACTGAATATGATGTACTGTAGTTGTGAATGAATTTTTTTTTTCAGTAGTGATGGAAGAAGAAACGCATCTGTGAGAGCGCAACATTTCTTAAACAGGTTGAAAATAAAGGTAGCCTAAATAACTAGTTTCTACGTCTTCTGCAAGAATTGGTCTTTGTTCCATCAATCTTAACAACACTTGTCCGTTAGGGTCCTCCATTCGAACAAACTGCTGGAGGAAATTAATATTAAAACCAAACATGACCGACGTTGAGGTGAAGACATTAGTGCCAGACACGTTCGGCAACTAACTACTATCTCCATTAGCTAGAATGTAAACGCCACCAAACTCCTCGTCATTTTCCTTCAACCTTTTAAGTATTAAATTAACAGCTGACAGTATTTCTGCGTTCAGCAGGCTCTTTTCCTCAATCAACATAAACTGCAGTCGCTCCAAAAAGTTCTTCCTTTTCAAATCTCGGGACAAATTGACGAGCGCTTTCTCGGCTAGATCTTTGGCAGGGAAAGGGGCACATGTAACACGGAATAGTCTGTGAATATGCTCGCCTCCTAGTTGCTGGGAGCGTCGGGCAGCCAAACTAGTGATCATGCATTTGAAGCCGTTGAACCACGCATACGACAACACCACTCTGGAGAGATAATTTTTACCGGAACCAGGTGGACTGAGCATCAGATCGTTTTTAGCCAGCCGACTGTCACTTACAGCCATCAACTTTGCGCGTACCGATGCGCAAAGGTGATTTAACAGAAGCCGTTGCTCGTTCTTTGATGCTTTTTGGTTTTCAGCAAAATTAACCTGTGGTAGCCATTCAGCACAGAGAAATTGTGCGTCGATGTTCGTCGGACAGTTGTCAAGCTGCAACAATTGGGCTCGATTCAGCATCCTGTGCTGAGTTTCATCTACAAAGGCTGAAACTTCTGATTAAATTTCATGCATTCTACCAATCAGCACAGTAGGTGTTGGCAATGCGTCTTCACCTTGTAATTCCAGAAGCTGCGCAAATGCGGCTTGTGCCCCAAGAAGCTTTGCAGGCCAGTCAAGGCTCCTCCAGGAAAATAGCGCAGTTCATCGTAAGCGTACATACGTAGCAAGGCTGGTATGTGATGTTCG